TCGTATTATAACCTGATCATCGGCTGTGTGGTACTGTAACTTTATTTGATCACACTACAGTATCGTATTGTTACCTTAACTGATGATCACCTTAGTTAATGGTATTGTGTTGTGATTCCAATGATCGTATTATAACCTGATCATCGGCTGTGTGGTACTGTAACTTTATTTGATCACACTACAGTATCGTATTGTTACCTTAACTGATGATCACCTTAGTTAATGGTATTGTGTTGTGATTCCAATGATCGTATTATAACCTGATCATCGGCTGTGTGGTACTGTAACTTTATTTGATCACACTACAGTATCGTATTGTTACCTTAACTGATGATCACCTTAGTTAATGGTATTGTGTTGTGATACCAATGATCGTATTATAACCTGATCATCGGCTGTGTGGCACTGTAACTTTATTTGATCACACTACAATATCGTATTGTTACCTTAACTGATGATCACCTTAGTTAATGGTATTGTGTTGTGATACCAATGATCGTATTATAACCTGATCATCAGTACGGAGTTGCATGCTTTCCGCACATACACAAACGATTACACCAGAGTCGATTTTTGTGCGAATTATAATATTTTGTTTGAGATTGAATAGAACAGAAGTTGTTTGTTGAGCTAAGACTATATATTGATATAACAATTCCTGTCTTGACTTCAAACTAGGTGGAAATGACCGGTAGTTCTGTATTCGACTACATTCACCAGCAGGACCACGCAGAGTTGGCCGAACAGCTAGGGATCAATTTATCCCAGTCTCACTCAGTCTCTTCGCCAGGTTCAGTGGGCTCCGACGATGGGTCTTGCTCGGCGTCTGGAGACGCGTCGACCCCCACGGGACTGGACCGACCAGGTGGGTTGACAGAAACCGTAAATTACGTAGGGTGTCGATAATCACAGATCTTTATCAGTAGACGTACTGTATACGGACATTATTTTGTCTCATTCATTAACAGGGCCACAGTAAAGAGCCTCATGTTGATTTAAAAATGTTTTACTAAATTGGCTCCTACTTTTTTTTTTTATCAATGGCACAGATGGGCTTTAATAGTTGACAGAGCCAATTGCGATGTTGTTACGATAAGAATGAAAAGTCCTGCTTTATGATACAAGAAAATAGCAATTTCATTTATAAATAATTAGTTCTTCCCGCTACCTTTGTTTACATTCTTTGTTATAGGATAAAACTTTGCTTTCGTAAATAGATATAATTAGAACCTAACAAGGAAAATCCTGAAGTGTACTTAATCAAGGAGTTATTTTTAATACAACCATTCCAGTTTTAGCAAAATAAGCGTCCGAATTAATGAAACGCTGTAAAAAAAACAAACTTGCATGATATTATTCCCTAAAAATCATTAGAACCTTCAGCAACATAATGACTGTTGATTTAAAAAAGAGTGAGTATAGGGCTAGTTAAATTTGTTGTTGTTTTGCTATATTTAATTTGATTTATATTTTATTAAATTAGTTAACACCTCTTCCTGTAAAAACTTCGGTCTGTATAAACTAGTTGCAGAAATAGGTAACGACACCATACATCTAAGAAAAAGTAGTATTCGTTTATTAATATTGTTAATAAGTGACTATAATATCAAAATTTGGACAAAAGACTTTGCTAACGGAATATTACACTTTATTTGTTTTTATTTAATTTTTTGTAGACCTATAGGGTTACACCTATAATTAAACCTAACTATAACTGTTAAACCTAACTGTTAAACCTAACAAAATAAAGGTAAGCCCGGTGAAAATAGGTCAAACTATCATACTGATAGTGAAAGCTAACAATGATATGATGCAAGGGAAATACAACAAGCATTGTTAGCTAACAATACTTAAATGCCATAATACTTATCATATATATAAATACGACAAGCATTGTTAGCTAACAATACTTAAATGCCATAATACTTATCATATATATAAATACGACAAGCATTGTTAGCTGACAATACTTAAATGCCATAATACTTATCATATATCATATATATATATATATATATCATTTAAATTTTCCTTTGCTTTATAAAAGAAAGGAAAAATAATAACATTTCTTACCGTTATTGTCTGATTTTTATTTTAACTATGTTAATGGGAACATTTTTTTTCAGCACCCGTCATGACACTAAACAGTAGTAGTTCTTACAAAGACCTCGAGAGGTCGTTCTGTGTCCGAATGAAATCAACGTTAACAAAACGTGGGTGTCATTTCAAGTCTACTGGTTATAGGGTAGGTATTAATTTACCGTGATTATTATATGGTACGTGTTTTTAGTAAGTATTTAAATCGTCCAATCTACAGCATTGATATTTGTACGTTATTTGTATTCAATCAAATGACGTAAATTGTTCTTGTCACCAGCTTCTGCAGCTGACCGAAATAGATTAAGAATTTCAGGTTATGCATGTTTATATTATGGGATGTGTACAGTCCACGAGAATACAGGTGTTCATACAGACGTTTCATCTAGATGTTGCGATAATAAGCTGTATAAATGAAACAAGATTGATATCCTAATAATGAGGATATTGGAATCTGAAATAAGACTGATTTTAATTAATCGAACACTTAATATCATAGCATGTTTCAGAATGAGCTATTTTCTTAGAAACGTTTTTTCTGCTAATCGAAGACATTTTTTTTTCTAGATTATTGATACATTTTAGAAATATATAATTTATATTGATTTTGTTATATGTGTGTGTATTTGACTGTATCAAATGAAATTTTAAACAATCAAGACGAATTTGATGAACGATAGGTAATATTTTCATCTACTTCTATTTTACGATGAAGCCGATAGGTGGCAGGAGGGTCTAGAGCCGCTTCTCTCGTATCATAGCAAATACTTTTTTTATGTAGTTCCATTTTGTGTTTTCGCAATTTTTCCTAAAACAAAATATAATACAAGTTTTAATGCAGAAGATGTCCTTGAGGAGCGACCTTTATTATACGTTGTAGAATTTTTATTAACCTTTGTCTTATGATTGCCCCTCAGTGACACAGCGGTATGTCTGCGGACTTACAACGCTTGAATCTAGGTTTCAATACCCATGGTGGACAGAGCACAGATAGCCCATTGCGTAGCTTTGTGCTTAATTACAAACAAAGAACAAAAAAGTCTTATGATTACGCTCAAATCTACAAAATGAATAGCTGCTGCGGCCAATAACTGAATGCTGTTTTGTTTTTCTCTGGGGTTTTGAGTTCCTCTTACTTCACCATATAGTAACTTAAATTAATTTAGGTATGTGAATAATGTTATGACGTTTCGTCGAATTCGTTATTATGCAGCGAGCCGACTGTTTAATGATTGTGTATATAGATTAAAGATATCTATTTTTTCTCACCAGATCGTTTGTTTGTTTGTTTGTTTTTGAATTTCGCGCAAAGCTACACGAGGGCTATCTGCGCTAGCCGTCTCTAATTTAGCAGTGTAAGACTAGAGGGAAGGCAGCTAGTCATCACCACCCACCGCCAACTCTTGGACTACTCTTTTACTAACGAATAGTGGAATTGACCGTCACGTTATAACGCCCCCACGGCTGAAAGGGTTAGCATGTTTGGTGTGACAGGGATTCGAACCCGCGACCCGCAGATTGCGAGTCGAGCGCCCTAACCACCTGGCCATGCCGGGCCTTTTCACCAGAAGTGAAATTGAAAAGAGAATCTGTGACGTAGAGGGCTAATGCATTCTTTGATCGGTCGTGAACTCTGCCGTGGACTGCAGTTTCACCTGTTCAAGGCCAATCACAATATATACACAATAGTCAATAAGCACCCACCTGCCATCTACCATATTTTTGTTTGTTTTTTAAATAAGCAAATTGCTTCGTGATATTAGAAATTTTTCCATGGTAAACGTTTATTACATCAGATAGCAGCATTTACTAAAGATATATATATAGATATATATATATATAGGTCGTTTAGATTTGTATGCTTTTCAAATATATACTAAATAGCATGTATATATATGTATACATATGCACCTTTCTTCGTAAGATCTATAGTGTAGTGCTTGATATAGTACAGAAATGCTTGTTTAATGAGGAATTTTTTCGTTTTTTGGGGGGATTTTTTTGTGATGGTGAACACAGTAGTCTAACTTATAACTGATCATAGTTTTTGCGTGTAAATTTATACAATAAATTACCTAACGAAATGAGTTATGTATTTTTGCTTTTTCCACTTGTGCTGCTGTAAAATAGAATATCACTTAACAAATAAAGTTAATCACCAAATAACAACAATGTATATATTATACGGTTTTCTTGATCAACACAGTTGAATGTATATCAAATGAAACAAATTTAGTACATAAATCACCTTGTTTTATTGTCTTGTGTTATTCGACCAAACCCCTAATGACGAGAATGTGTAAAGGTGAGATAATAATATAAGTTTCTCGTTCCACAGAAGAAATCTTATCCCAGTAAATGCTTAGTAACAAAGACGTTTTTTAATGTTATATAAACGTTTTAAATCCGTCATTTTGTTGTTAATTTTCAGGTTGTATTAGTTTTATGTCATCTACGGCCTCACTGCGTGTTCCCACATAACCGGAAGCAGCCTCCTACGCTTATCGGGATGGTGGCGCTAGCAATAGCACTTCCCCCTCCTTCAGTGCACGAAGTACGCCTGGAGAGTGGAATGTTTGTAACAAGGCTCTCATTCGACTTTAAGATTGTTCACTGTGAACCCAGGTACGTGTAAAAAAGAAAACCTATATAATTAATTTTCATTTCATTATTTTGTCAACAAAATATCATTTATTTGTTATATAATTCTAATATATCTTTAAAATTTGCACACAAATTGTTTTGAGCGACGCTACGCGCCATTAATCAATACAAAAAAAGGAAATAAGCATTGCCAAATGCATATATTAACTATTTTACCCCTTTCAAATGTCAAATACTTTTTAGAATGTACAGAGCCTTAAAACTGCAAACATGGCTCTAAGACGGAGGGATTCTCACGCCATCTGTTATCTCATGTATGAACTATTATATTAAAAAAATCTTCCTGATCTAGCTCACTGTCTGCTTTTACATTATTACCTTTTAGCTATTGATTAGAAAATTTGCTTAGATTTTTCTTCAAAGTTTCAGAAAATGCTTGATATATTAATATTATTCCTACTCAGAAGATCTGTGACTCACATGCACATTTTGTTTGTCGAGAAATAATCGTGTAAAATGCTATTACTCCAAATTTCTTTAAATATAGGATATTGACCAAGAGGCAAAAAGAAATAATATAACAGATGAAAAACCAGTACAGACTAAATATTAAAAGCATTACTTACTGTATGTGTCATACTACATTATTTTAAAATCAAATTAATATGAGTAGTTGATATTAATTATTTCGTTTCATTAATGATTAAATTCCTATTAATATAAAGTTTTCGCTTTTCATAATTAATGTAAGATATACTGCTTAAATATTGAGGAGTTTTATTTTGGTTTTCAGGATAGCAGAACTTCTAGATTTTACAGCTGAAGAACTAGTTGGAAGAAATATGTATTCACTTTGTCATGGACAGGATGTTCAGCAACTTCGCAAGTGCCATACTGATTGTGCGTAATCAGTGTGTTATTAAGACTTTGTAGAGGGCGCTACCAACGCCCCAATGAATAATTTAGTTATCTTAAAATTTGAAATTTTTTATTGCATTAGTCAAAATAAAATAAGTTTCTGGTAACTCATTTTTATAGATTTTGTTTTTGTAGTAAACCGTTAAAAATATTGAAATACGTTACTGATATTAACAGTTTAAACAAATTTGTTTCCACAGTAATTCATAAGGGACAAGTGATGAGCGGTTACTATCGTCTCATGAATAAGAACGGGGGATTCACTTGGGTACAAACATGCGCCACGGTCATCTGTAACAATAAAAACTCCGAGGAACAAGCTATTATTTGTGTGAACTACGTCCTTAGGTACGTTGCATTTTTTTTGTTGTTCTGTAGATATCTTTCTTTAATTTTAGACGCGCTCAAGTTTTCATATGCACTTGTAAGCTATGTATCTATTATTAGTAATCAGCTTCTTTGCGTAAAATACTTAAAATTCAAATGCAGAATTTCAACGTACAACACCCTTTACGCTAAGCCTAACCTTTCCTATTATTATACAGAATGATAGATGTTCATTAGAAAATACCACAGAGACTCACATTTAGCTTCGCTTTAGGTTTTCTCAACGTTTTCGTAATCATAGAAAACATAAGCCTAACGCCATTTCACCATACACAATATACTTTAACATTTTAGAAATCTACGCATGAGAACACAAATGGCCCGGCATGGCCAGGTGGTTAAGGCACTCGACTATGCAAGCTGAGGGTCTCGGGTTCGAATCACTGTCACACCAAACATGCTCGCCCTTT